GGGTAAATTTTGTGATTTAATCCATTTCATTTTGGGCATGAGAGTGAGCGGTACAAAGTAAAACATCTGATCTGCAGAAACAAAAGAAGAAAAAAAATGAGAGGGGAATAAAAACCGAGCAATATGAACACTAACCTTTCCCATACAGATGAAAGCAATGCACACAAGCCCACAATAGCTGAAAAGCAACCAAATAAAGAAACCCCATTTCTGGCCATCCTCCGGCAACTGAGAAACAATTTAACACACTATATACTTATTCCATCTTTGCAGTATATTAATCATTCAGTTCAGACTGAAGAGGAACAAAATAAAACTTACACAATTTTTCGCCCGAGTGAACCACAGGGTGCCTATGACGGTCCAAGCCAAAAGAAAGGGATAAAGTAGCAAAACAAGAATCGATAGTACAACAGCTCTTCCAATAAATCGTGCATATCTTTGCTGCCAGCCGAGATCCCTATGCCGTGTGAAAATAGCGGTAAATAATGAAAGAACAACAGAGCATAAGACTTCACACAATTTGTAATTCAGTACACTTGAGGTCTGATTTATGCAACTTATATCGCTATTTTTAAACTATTTGCATCAATTAACACAAAGTGCGCCAGCCTAACAATGCGGGCAATGTACGAATAGCAAAAAACTACTAAGTACTAACAACTCTATGGTATTATAAAAAATACCCTTAGCATTTGAAAGGAAAGTGGTACTTACAATCCCATTCCGGAAGCCAATCCATTGTCCATAAACATCAAGAGCCGGAAAATAAAGACTGAGGTATAATCAACCTAACAATGCATGACAATAACCACCATAATGTTATTTACAACTTCAACCTTTCGTCAAGATTACAGGAAAATTCACTGATCTTGCTTTTCAAAGACATAAATATTACTCACCACAATCCATATGTGCAACGGGTACATACATGAATGGTACTTGCTCCAATTGACTACCACAATTATTCTAACATAACAGCTAAGAAAACACCCAGAATCGACTAAGACGACAGTAATCGATTATATAGATCAGTTAAACAGACATCCACTGCTGAAAACAAAGAGAGCAAAAGAAAACTCAAAGACATAAAAGAAGACACAACCTTCTACTCAAGAAATGAGATTCGAACATAAAGATGAATAAATAACCTCTGAGCTTCGATTAAAAAGGATACATACTTGTAACGAGCATAGACAAGAAGAACCCATCATACCTGCAAAACCCATTAACCATAAAGGCCCGAACTTTTAAAACAACTCAACACGACTATTCAATTGCGGGTTCATTTACCGCTTGAGAAAGGGTACAAATTTCAGTCCCTTCTTCATTTACTTAGATGAAACTTTCGAGGGGCGAAAAAAAAACTCACCACTTGAAATCGACGCCTTTGATCGCCATTCAGGGAGAAGGTTAGCCCTGA